TGGCCCCGCGCCCTCGCCCCCCGCCGACGCCCAGCCTCGTCACCACGCCGTCGGAGTCTTGTGGACCGCCCTCAGGTGCCTCTTCAGGATCTCCCGCTGGTTGAAGGACAGCGGGCAGTGCGAGCAGTCGTAGGGCCTCTCGCCGGTGTGGGTCCTCTCGTGGCGCAGGACCTTGGAGGGCGTCGCGAACCACTTGCCGCAGAACTGGCAGGCGTACGCCCTCCGCCCGTCCCGCAGGTGCTGGTACTCGTGGCCGGAGACGTCCGCTTGCGGCTGCTGGAGTTGCTGCTGGTGCTGTTGCTGCTGCTGCTGGTGTTGCTGGTGCAGCTGCTGTTGGTGCGGGTGTTCCATGTGTTGTTGGTGTTGCTGTTGGTGTTGTTGTTGGAGGTGTTCTTGATGTTGCTGGCGGGCGAGCGAGGGGGCCCCACTCCCTCCCTGACCACCACTACCAACACTCCCTGGGCTCACCTACAATGGAGAGAAATCAAGACCATAAGCAATGATGTCCAAAATGTTCGGGAGGTTTTGCTGTGTCATGGCTTTGCTGTCTGAGTGTAAGGTAACCCCTTGGCAACGCGCCTCGTCAGACCCCAGGCCCGAGACCCCGAGCGGTGGCGAGCGCTAACCCGAGGCGAGGCGCGGCGGCCCTAGCTCGTGCGCGGAGGGGCGGCCCTCAGGGCTAGGGCGCCGCCAAGAACTCCGGATGCTTCATCTTGATGTGGCGGTACACGTTGCCGCTCTGCGCGCTGCGGAAGGCGCAGTGCGGGCACGCGAAGGGCTTCTCCCCCGTGTGCGTGCGCAGGTGGCGCCCGAGGTCGACCGGACGCCCGAAGAAGCGGCCGCAGTGGGGGCACGACTGGCCGCCCTCAGCGCCGCCCCGGTCCCTCAAGGCCTCGTGCGGCGCGCGGGCGGGGGGCGCCAGCCGCGTCAGCAGGTGGGCCAGTGTGTTGGACGGGACCCCAGCCTGCAGGAGAGACAAGGCAGCCTTCAGTATGGACTTGACGCCAGCTCGCCGGCCGGACATTGTGTAAACCCTTAGCACTAACACAAGCACCGTGACTGACACTTCACACACAAAGCTACAAATCCTCAAGACCTAGGTCCTCCTCCCGCGGCGGGCGGTGCGACCCCGGGCGGCGCCTCGCCTCATAGGGCCGCGTGCGGAGGCGGCGCGAGGCGGTCCAGGTGGCGCGCCTGCATGTGCTTGGTGACGTTGCCCTTGAGCGCGGCGCGGTAGGGGCAGAACATGCACGTAAAGGGCTTCTCTCCCGTGTGAGTGAGCAGGTGCTTCTTCAGGTTATACGCTCGGTTGAAGAGTCTACCGCAAACTGAGCACGGGTGGTACTGGTTGGCGCCCCCGACTGGGTGGTCGCCTGCCCCGGCAACACTCCCCTCCAGTGGCACGCCCTCCGCCGCCGCCCTCACCTGCCGGGGAAGACTGCGTCAGTCCCTTGAACACGTCCCAACAAGGTCCTTAGCGTAGCAAGCAACACACACCAGCTCGAGTATGAACCAACTGCTGTGTCTTCTATAACTCTACCTACCAAGGACACAATAAACAGTCACGTCGACCTCAATCTACCTTTCCTCAAGGACAATGATGTGAAGGAAAAACACTTAATCAGCTTCTAACAAAGCCACACCCTTCGTAAACACAGTCGGAACAGAGAATTCGACCTATAACGTCCGAAAACAAGTGTCCCGAGTTTTTTTTCAGTCTCCCCTCCCGTTTTCTCTAATGAATTCATCGCTTGTTCGCACTATAATTCAATAATACGTCATTGAATTGTGTGTACATCATTAAACGTGTTTGTGTGTGTGTCTGTACTAGTATGCATGAATGTTTGCTTATGCAGACATTAGTTTATGTATATGAACGTCTTAATATTAATGTCAATATCAGCAGTGTAATCATACACACATACGTACAGTATATATGCACTTTAAGTATGAATGAACAGTTACCCATCCTGAAATACCAATGTGTTAACTCTCTTTCTTTCAATCTATATATTTCTAAACATAAAAAAATCAAATAACCCACCATCTTGAAAAAAAAAAACATTATTTATGAAGAGACATCAATCCTTTCCTCTCCTTTCTATCATAATAATATTAGTAACTTGATTATCCACTTGTGAATCGGCATTCCCTTTCTTATTTTCTTCTCTCTTGCTAGCATCTACAATGTCATTTTTCCCGTTAATTTCCAGAGGATAAATATTAGAAAAAACGAGACTTCCATGCTATCTTTATTAAGCTATATCGTACAACGAAATATCAACAATCATACCGAAAAATTGTATCCAATAATATCAATTTAATCACGATATCATGATTAACCTGACATATTTCTAACGTTTTTTTTTTTCTCTTTCTCAATTATTCGAACAATGACAGCTACGTGTAAGTACAGAGGGGAAAACCTGATATATGTATAGATATATAAAAAAAGAATTGCAATGTTGTAATTCCACTAATTACATCCACTGATCACATTACGTACTGATCGTTGTGAACACCAGTCTGTCTTGTCACGTTCTTTGCGCATGAACCACGCGGACAAAGGTAGGATATATAAAAAGATAGAAATGCTTCATGTTGAGAGCTCAAAGTAAAAGAAGATCCGACCGCTCTGCAATGTTCTTTGCACTTCTTTCTCACAGAGACATCACACTCCAAGTGCTGTCTTATCACATTTTCTTTTCTTAACATGTAACCATTCACAGAGATATATAAACAGACCCAACAGAGGAAAGAGAACCACACGAGTCTCGCCCCCGTCACGGAGAACCTCAAGCGGGACAGGGCCCTCGACATGCCCCTGTGCACGCCCCTGGGCCCGCCCTACGGCCTGTCCTTCTGGTGGTGCGGGTGCCACTTCCTGAGGTGGCTGAGCAGCGTGTCCTTCCGGCTGGAGCGGTAGGGGCAGTACAGGCAGGCGAAGGGCTTCTCGCCCGTGTGGGTGTAGATGTGGTGCTCGAGGTGCTGGCGGCGGTTCTTCCCGGCGAAGGCCCTCCGGCACAGCGGGCAGATAAGGGAGGGGGGCTTGCTGGCGTTGGGGTCTCCCCCCCCAAGGGATGCGGCGGGGGCGACACTCGGCTCCTGCAACACACCCAAGACAGTCCTTAGCACCTGTGCCAGCTCACCTGGGCCACTCACACACCTCCAACATGTACACGTGTCTGTCCTCTGAGGCAAGTGCTAGGATTTGGATCAGTGAACATCATGCAACTAAGAATCGCCTTGGGAGCCAGACCTCTCCTCAGCTTTATTTATATTTGGTGGGGGGGGGGTCCTAAATGCACGGGTTTCTCTACGACTCGTCATACAGTACCGGTCCAAGTGCACGGGTTACAGGGCGGGCCGAGCGTCATGGGCGTGGGCGGCGACGGGCGGCGCATCCCGGGTCGCGGCGTCCCTTTGCTGCGCAGCCTCGAGCAGCGGCGCCCCGTGGTCGAAGATCACGAGGTCTCTCAGGACCCTGGGCCCGCCTGTCCGAGCCCTCCCCTGTGGCTCCCGCAGGCCCACCTCCCGCGCGCCCCCGGGGACGGCGTCGCGCGGCAGGAGGTCGCGGTGCATCCGGGCCACGTGGATCTTGAGCGTGTCCTGGCGCGACGAGCGGAACGGGCAGTGGGGGCAAGGGTAGGGCTTGTGGCCCGTGTGCGTCGCGATGTGCCGCTCCAGGATCTGGCGGCGGTTGCGGCCCCCAAAGGACTTGCCGCAGACGGGGCACACCAGCGCTGCCACGTCGCCCAGCCGCACAGCCAAGCCCTGCAAAACACAGCCACGCTCAGCCTCAACCTCCTTCACTCCAGGACGCAAGCAGACCTGGTTTCACTTAACAGCAAGAAAAGGGCTTGCGCCATCCTACTTCACAAGCAAGGCCAAACACAAGAGCTACTCTGAACTGCCTTCCCTCTCTGGATTCTCCTCCCCTGAGTAGCACAAACTGCTTCCTCGTCCTTACGGGAGTTACAATTGCAATTCCCTCTAAATACCAGGCAATATATTTCTTTAATATTCATAAGTCAGTTACCCATTAGCACTACTCTGATCAAACTGCCACATTGAGACAGACCTCAAGAATGACCCAGCACAGCAAACACCATACCTCATTAACTCCTTCACAAAAAATCACTGAAAAAAAGTTGTTTCACCAAATCAGTACTTTAAAACTTAAGGGCATTGAATTCGCGTCTCGGCCTCGTCTCAGCCGCACCTGCGCCAGAGTCGCCGCTCGGAGGGACGCCGGTCGCCCTCGAGGAGCTCGCTTTGGCCTCGCTCGACCTTCGCCTCGCACCTCGCGCCCTCGCCTCTTATCATCTCTGGCCGACGGCGCCCTCGAAGCCCTCCCTGGCGTAGTGCTGCTGCAGGGGCGCGCTCGCCAAGTGCTCCCCTTCGACGCCCCTGCCGACTACACCCTGGCCGTTGGGCACCTGCGGGACGCCTGCCCTGGCCGGGTGCCCCTGGCTGCCCAGGGCGCCGCCGTAAAGGCGCTGGTTGTTGTCCCCAGCCTGCGCCTGCGGGCCCTGGTGGATGTTCCTGATATGGCGCCGCAGGTTGGACAGCTGGTTGGCGCGGTAATTGCAGTGTGCGCAGTTGTACGGCCGCTCCCCCGTGTGCACTATGACGTGGCGCTCGTACAGCTGGTGGCGTCCGGGGCCGATGAAGGTCTTCGGGCAGTTCGGGCACGCGAGAATCACGGGCGTTCGCGCAGAGGCGCCGCCCTGTGCCCCGGCGCCCTCCTGGTGCGGGGCAGCAGCTCTACCCTGCAACAGACAAGGCGGCTCTAACTCCTGCTCACAAGCCCCGCTTCGTGCGCGAGACAAGCCCGGCGACCTTCCCGCGGGGGGACTGCGCCGCGCACCTCGACTCTTTACTTTTTTAAATACTAAATCTACACCAACGGGATGCTGAGTGAATGGTCTTACTGACATATCAAAAACGAGTCATGCTATGCATGACAAAGAAAATCAAATGAACATGCAAATCAAAAG